AGGGGGATCCGCTCCCTGCCACTGCTCCAGGACCCTTCCCGTAGCCTGGGCCTGGAATTACACCCGCGGGAAGCCGGGACGGGGAGCTTTCAGGGGAGGAGGCAGAGGTGGAGCCGGAGCCAGGTGAGCTGGGGCTGGAGGCAGGGCAGGGAGCAGCTGGAGCTTTTGTTAAATTTAAAAGCCCTTTTAGAATCGGGACATCCGGTTCTAAAAGGGCTTCTAAATTTAACAACCGGTTTCCGCGAACCAGTGGGAACCGGCTCCAGCTCACCACTGGCTGTGGGGATGCAGCCCCTTGTAACCCAAGAGCTGGTCTCATACACAGATAAAGCATTATTGGCACAAGCACTTCTGGCCACACTTTCCAAAATGACCAGTGATTTTGGCAGCCCAACTTGGGAGACGTTAAGGCGGGACAGATAGACTGCAATGAGCCCCCACCTGCTAGAAATCAGCCCTTTAAGATGGCCTAAATAGATATCTCAAAATCAGTAATACTTTCTTAAAGTCTTGGTCTCTGTGCTTAACCATGTGATAAACCAAGCACGGTATTTAAAAATAATATTGTCTCTATCTATCCCCCATGCATCCTCTGTTTATGTCTCTATCCCCATACATAGCCATCTATCTAGCGACAATCAGTCTCTCTCTCTATCGCAGGCTCTGTGCAGCTGATTCCTTTCAAGTCTCTGTTGAAGCACTAGCGTAGAGAGGAGCCCTGGTCATTTCTTCCCTGTGTGGAGCCGTCTCTCTGCTCCTTTCAGGGTCAGCGCAGTGAGGCAGCTGCAGGATCTGTGCAGCAGGAGGAACTCACTCTGCGGATGCTCTTGCAGCTCTGACTGGAGAGGCAGGGGCTCAGTTCCCTTGTTCACATCCCGCTATGCACTGTTAGTGATCCTGTCATCGACCTCCCCTTCACCCTCCCTTGGAGGAGACATTCCCTGGTCCTGGTCCTGTGGTGGTTCTGGGTTGGAGTCTCTCCAAGTGAAAGCTCCGGAGCCATTTCTCTGTCACAAGAGAACCGACCCTCTTACACAGAGGCCTGATCCCCAGGCCAGTGAAGTCAGTGGAGTCTTTCCATAGACACCAAGGGGCTTTGGATCAGCCCCTTTCTGGGCAGCAGTTTGTGCATCAATTACTGTGAAAAGTTGATCTGCTAAACTGCTCTGCCTTGTGCTCCTGACAGGTTTCTCTTGAGGCCCTCTGCTGTTTGGCTTCCCGCAGGGCTGTCTCGGTCCCCAGGCAGTGACATGGGATGGGAGGTGTTTCCTCAGTGATATGTTTAAACTCAAATAAGCCAACCAGACTTCTTCGATCTTGCAGTTCTCAATCCTGCAGCCCTAAATAGAGATGCTGGAGTCGGGACAGGGAAGGGGGGTGGCGTGGGGAAGGAAATGGGGAGTGATGGTGAATATCAGACCTGAGGAGGGGACAGAACAGGTCAGAGAGAGGCTGCAGAATCACTGC